ACAAATATCCAGTTTTCTGTCTCATTTAAATATTGTGTTAGCTGTAAATCTTTATTCTAAGGTAACATCACCTGGCCCTTGGATTATTCCTATACATTTTAATTTGTCTGACTGTGTTTTCCCTCACTCCCCACCAGCCTGAAGGTTGTTATGGCAGCTGCAATCTGATGGCCTGGCTCCTCACCACCTCACCCCCAGCTGCAGTGAAACTTTGCCTGTGGAATCCGATCCAAATTCCTCCTGTCAAAGCCTTCATTAATGTGGTTTCATCTTACTTATTCACTCTTATTTCCCATGACTTGTCCACATTTACCCTTTCTTTCAATCTAGAGCAACACCTCTCTGTCCTTTAGATACACACTGCTTATTTCCTGATTCCACACATTTGATGACACAAGCCCCCACACTGTGGAGTACTCAACCCCAACATGTGAAGACCCTTCAAGATCCTTGAAGCCAACTAGTCTAATTGCTAAAAGCATCCACCTTGCTTTCCCTTGGCCTTCTTCCTATCCCAAATATAGTTATTAACAGTTGAGCTATCATTATTCCTGAATTTCTAAATAGGAGAAATTTGAGGCCACCAAATATATTGTCAGCTTCTTCAGGACTGGTCTCACTTTATGTGTTCTTTTTGTATCCTCCAAAATTATTCAGAGCAATGCTAAAGAAACATTAGGTGCTCAATATATACTCACTGGGCAATGAAGATTGGAAATAGGCAAACTTGCATTCTAAAATCTTAAGTTTCTAATTTGTAATACACTCATTACTTTTATAATTTTATTGAAGTCATGCTCTAAAACAATCTGAATGTACAACGGTAAGTGTTGAGTTGCTTAAGGAATGATATATCCATATAATGGAATAATACGCAGCCATTGAAAAAGTGTTCTTGAAGAAATATTAATCTGTCAAATGCTTTTCAAAACACTGATAACTTAAAAACGTTTTAAAAAGTATGTACAGAATATTCCCAATTTAAGAATGAAAACTCCAATATTAATAGGATATTATAAGTACCAACCATAATGGAAAAGACTGATAAATTGAACTTTGAGCTTTTATTTATCAAAATGCATCTTTAACACAGTATAAGGCGAGCCTGACAGAGGACTCATATTCAGAACATATAAAAGAATTCTTACAAATCAATAAGAAAAAGAAGATAATACCATTTAAAAGATGGGCAAAAGGGCTGAACAGGCAAAAAGAAAATATCCAAATGGTTAATAAACAAATGAAAAGGTGCCCAATATCATTAGTTATCAGAAAAATGTAAATAAAAACCATAATGAGATACCGGTGCACACCTACTAGATGGCTAAAATGAAAAACAAAACAAAAAACGGAAAATGTCAAGTGTTGACAAGGACATGGAGCAACTTTCTAGGACTTCCCATCACAATTCTTTTATGAAGGACTCCTTTTTACTTCCATTCAATAACTTCTTATTTCTTAATTCATTTTCCATTTTTGCTGGTATATGTACTCTTTGATACTTTCCTAAGAAAGGCTAAGGGTTGAATTTTTGAGTCCTCCTAGAATTTCAATGGCATTTTCCCACTGTCTTCTGTCTAATGTTGCTGTTGTGAAAGCTAAAGTCATTTTGATTCCTGTTTCATTGAATATGAACTTGAAAGAAATAATCACCAAAAGCTTTAGGATCTTTTCTTATCCCTGGTGTTCTAGAATTTTCCAGTATTAGTTTTAGTTTGTGTCTTTTTCCTGTTTCCCATGATGATGGACTTCCCAGGCTCCAACCCTTTCCACCTAAAACTAACGTCCTTAAGTTCTAGAAAATCTCTGTGTGATTTTTCTCCACCTCCTCACCACACATCCCTTGCTTTTCCTTTCTGGATTTCAGGTTGGACCTCCTGTGTTATTTCTTATCTTTTTGTCTTTTATTTCATCATTTGCTTTTTGTTGTTGTTCTACTTGTAGTAGATTTCCTTGGCTTTATCATTCTACTCTTGATTTTTTCACATCATTTTCAGTAATCAAATCACTGAGATTTTTATTCTGGCTATTATATTTTTAATTTCTATGAACTCTTTCATGTTATTGGATTGTATCTTTTTTCCTACGTTTTATTTGTTTAATGGATGCAATAGCTTCCTTTTTCGCCCAGAGGATATAAATTCTAATAGTTTCAATGTTTTCTTCTGCTCTCTTTACTCTTATATTTTATTCATCTATATTCCCTTAGTCTGTATATTTGTTTTGGGGTCACTTTTTCTCATATCGGAAGATTTCCTAATGTTGGTTACCCTTAGTCTTAGTTCATATTTTAGAGGGAGGATTTAAAATGTGTAAAAGCTCTGGGAGAATATACAGCATGGAGCACTTGGGGGGCCTCCCTGTAGAATTATCAAGAAGAAAAATGACAAATTTTCTTAAAAACAATGTCCTGAAATGATTTCCAAGGAAACATGTAACCTGTTCCATACCAAAGATTCATGAATAATAAAAAAACTTTGCTCATGAAAAGAATGAAGGGGTAGATGCAGAAGTAAATTCATAAATTCCAGAATCTAATTTAACTGTACACTGTAGAGAAAATGTTGAAGCAATGGAGCCCCAGTAACACAGTCTATAACAAAGTATAATATTTCTCTTGGTTCTGAACAGATAAATAGAGCTCCTTTAAGCAATTGTTAAGAAAATAAATCTGACAGGATATTTCAAAATTCATTGGTGCCTCATGGAAAACTTTGAAAAACATTATAATTTAGAGGCAATTTAGTCAGTATAGTGTATGCTTCTTCATGGTTTCCTTTCCTTCTTTGTCTTAAGCATCTTACAAAAATTTGTATTTATAAGTACCTTGGCTGCTAAAGAGTTCTATGACTTGTTAGGTTTCTTCCTTTCCACCTAATGGTTTCATTTCACCACTAATTAAAACGGTAGTAAACCCAAAAGGGGTGAATGAGAATAATCTTTCTCGAGGTTGCTTTTCCTGTCTTGTTAGCAGAAAGTCTTCAAAAATAATATTTTCAAAAGTTTTTCAGGAGATATTAAATTCATTGAGATGCTCAAGGGAAATGAAACTTGTAAATGCCATCAAAGCCTCATTAATTCACTTTCTCACGTATTTGCCATTAAATCATTTTGTCTTAATAGCCTCATTAATTCATCACCTTTGTGTTTTGCCTCTTTTCCTTTTCTCTTATCGTTATTTATTGGTGACCCCAATACATAAAAGTAGTTTTGGTCACTGTTTGCTAGCTCTGCTGTCTAATGTATTTGGGGAAAGGAAGTGGAATGTCACAAATGGTGACTGCCTGGCTTCACGCAGGTGCTTGGAGAAGGGATCATTGATTAATGAGAGTCTCATCTCAAAGGGAATTACTTGGCTGTTTTTTTTTTTTTTTTGGGCTAGAGTGCCGTGGTGTTGCCTAGTTCACAGCAACCTCAAACTCCTGGGCTCAAGCAATCCTTCTGCTTCAGCCTCCCGAGTAGCTAGGACTACAGGCATGTGCCACCATGCCCGGCTAATTTTTTCTATATATATATATATATTTACTTGTCCAGATAATTTCTTTCTATTTTTAGTAGGGACGGGGGTCTCTCTCTTGCTCAGGCTGGTCTCAAACTCCTGACTCGAGCAATCCTCCCGTCTTGGCCTCCCAGAGTGCTAGGAGCAATCCTCCTGCCTCGGCCTTCCAGTGCCAGTGCCTAGCCTCGGCTCTTTTTTTCACAGCTTGACTCTCTGCCCAATGAGGTAACGGCAGAAAGTTTTCACTTGCCTAAAGACGATTCTTTGCATATTATATCAGAAAGGAATGAGAGTTGCAATTTAACTCATAAGATATAATTTGAAATATTAAAATGGAGAAAGTGCAGCCAGAAGACAAATTGAAGTGGTATGAGGAATTAAGTACAGCTGAGGACAAAGTCATCCTGGTTCATATGGTAAAGGGGGTGCTCAGTCTTAGCTGCCTATCAGAATCACCTGGAGAGCTTCTGCACAAACGCCCACAGGTGGGCTCCATTCCAGACCAACTGAAACTGGATCCTTGGAAGTGGGGCCTGAGAATTGGCACACGTTAAAGTTCCCCAAGTGATTCTGATGCACTGTGAGGGTTAAGGAGCACTGACATAGGACAAGATGCATCACAAAGAAATAGGAATAATTAAGCTTCCTCTGTCTTTCCAACTCTAGATCAGAAACCTATGAGAAGGTGTAAAGACATAGAAGGCATGTCTCTCTGGATGCTGTAATCGATTTCAGAGGCAAGATAAGCACAAGGGCAGATAACTGAGAGCAGCACAAGGCAACACATAATCAGATGTAATACCTACAGAGATTCTGGGAAGGAAAGCCCTTTGAGGATGAGAATAGTAAAGAGACTTCACAGGGAATGTGTTGATTGGGGCTTTGTGGGGAGTATGGAGAGGGCGTTCACTGCAGGTGAGACAGAAAGCAAAGGAAAGAGCGTGTGTGTATGTGTGCGGGGGGTGTGGGGAACAGCAAGCCAACCGTCCTGGGACTGAGCTTCAGGGTTGGCCTGCTCTATTCCCATTCCTACCCGCAACCGGACGCTTTACATCAGTCTTTACTGGAACTCTTCAGTGAAGTATCATTACAGATGAAGAAACTCGGCCTCAGAGAGTTAAGTGACTTGCTCAGTGTCTAGTCCCCTCTTCTGTTAGAGGATCCAGGCGGGGTCATCCAGGTGACCTGGTTCCGAGGGACCAAGGAGGAGGAAGGTGGGAAAACTCATTATCTGCAGGTGAGACATCAAGGGGACAGGGCATTTGCAGGGTCAAGGTGGAGAAGCAGCAGCAAACTGGCCTCTAATTCAAGAGAAGCTGAAGTCCTTTTCAAGAGTCCAAGTGAGGATAGAGAGGCTCAGAAACTGGGGCCACCAGGCCTGGGGCAGAAGGTCAGGAGTTGTCCGGACCCAACACTGGGGACAGGGGCGCTGCCTGTAGTGAGGCTGTTCCGTGCTCCAGGGGCAAGCTTGTGCGTGAAGCAGGAAGTATCCACATGGCCCTCTGGATGCCACAAACATTTTATTAATATAACCTTAAAAGGCTAGCCTTCGTGATTTTTGGTTCTTCTATCATGTAACAATTATTATATAGTATTAAGCAACAGGCTCCTCTGCCTGCCGCACCTCATACCCGACCCTCGAGCTATAAGGAGACATTCTGGCAACTGGGGCAAACAGCAGGAGATGTTCTCCTCCAAATCAAGTTTATAATTCATGATAGGGCTCACAGATGGGCTTTATTAACAGTGCACACCATCTGGCACTTCCCACTTCAAATCATTACTCTTGCTAAATAGATATTAAGCTTTCAAAATCATTATTTACAATTTTTGTGTCCTCTAAGTCTTGGTACCATAGGCCAAAACCCTTTCCGATGCTCCACCCTTTCCACTCTTACTCCAGCCGGGGATCGGGTGCAGCTCAGGCACAGCGTGATGAGGGCGGACGTCATACACATATAGGTATGAAAACAACTGGGAGTTTAGTGGCTGGCTTCTTAGGGTCATGAAATCATGTAAAAGCATTAATGTACATGGCACCCAAGAGGCCATGTCCAAACAGTACAAACCCTTTCTGTGATGTGGTGAGTCCCTTAAGGAAGCCAGGAGGGACAGGAGTTGGGTGGAAGCAAAGCGAGCAAGCAGCATAGACGGGATTTGAACTCCATCAGTGTGGGACACCAAAACTGAAAATTTCTTTCAACCATGTTGTACTCTGGCTACCCAGACACGGAGTGCACTGCAAAGAGGCTTCAGCTGTGGTCCTTGTCTTCCAGGAGCTTTCAATGTGGCTGTGCTGACAGGGCTGGAACATAAGAAGATAAATAACAGCTCATTATTGGCATCAGATTAGAGGCAAACAAGATGAAGAGACATTAGATTCTTATGATATGTGTATATATATATATTTTTTTTTTTTTTTTTTGAGACAGAGTCTTGCTTAACACCCAGGCTAGAGTGAGTGCCGTGGCGTCAGCCTAGCTCACAGCAACCTCAAACTCCTGGGCTCAAGCAATCCTCCTGCCTTAGCCTCCCGAGTAGCTGAGACTACAGGCATGCGCCACCAGGCCCAGCTAATTTTTTCTATATATATTAGTTGGCCAATTCATTTCTTTCTATTTATAGTAGAGACGGGGTCTCCTCTTGCTCTTGCTCAGGCTGGTTTCGAACTCCTGACCTTGAGCAATCCTCCCACCTCGGCCTCCCAGAGTGCTAGGATTACAGGCATGAGCCACCCGACCGGCCGAGACATTAGATTTTTTAGTACACCAATTCTCCAGTGATTCACTTTGGAACTCACTGTTCTAGATTATTCAAGACTGAATTTGCATTTCTGTGATTTATTTTAAATATATATTTTTTTATTTTTTAGCAGATATTAGAAGCATGTGGCAAAATATTTAAATGATACTAAAGGCCAGATAGGGAACAGGAAGTTTCCCACCCCGCTGTCAGGATCCTGGAAGGAAACAATATTCTCCCCCAGAAGGTTCAAATGCAGAGACTTTGATGAAGGCACTGCTTACCGAGGTGTGGGCAGGGTTTGGGGACAAACGAGGGACGTGGAGGCCGGAGACTGACGACGGCCTGAAGAAGGGAGCGGTGTTGGTGGAGCCCAGTGCGCGCGGAAGCCTTAGTGGAGGAGCTAGTTGGGGACAGACACACTCTCAGATATTTCGTCGTGCTTCCCATTGGCCAAACCCAGCGGGAAGTGACCATCAAGGGACACAGCGTGATGGAGGCTGTAAAGGACACTCTGAACAGGGCAGAGAGGGCAGGAAAATAATCTGGGGGAGTGTTGCGGTTGAGGCGGGACCCACCGAACAGCCAACATAGCACCCTTGACTCCCAGTCCCCAGGCAACAATTACATTTGACCCTTGAACAACACGGTCCGAACTGCACGGGTCCATTATATGCAAATGTTTTGAAACCGAACACAGTAGATTGGAAAATTCAGCATTGGCGGGATGCAAAACCTAAGTATAATGAGGGCCGATTTCTCCGTATCGGCTGGTTCTGCACTCCCAGGGCCTACCGTGGCACTTGAGTACGCGTGCGCATTTGGGTACGCATGAGGGTCCTGGAACCAGTCCTCTATGTTTACTGAGGAACAACTGTATTCACATTTTTCTATAACCATCCAGAAGTAGTCTATGCATATACCAGCTACAAGTGTGTATGCCAACTTATTTTCTACATAAATAGTAGTGGACTCTTCTCCTGACTTTTCCCCTGTCATCTTTCCTTTTTATCACTTAAACAGTCATATATCTTGGATTTGGGCCCCTTCTAGCATTCATACAGTAGCCTGGTTGTTGGAGACCAGGGGTTCTAAAAGCATGGTCCCCAGAGGGGCAGCATCAGAGTCACCTGGGAACTTGCTATAATGCAAAGAAATTGGAAACTGTGGATGAGGCCCAGCAATTCATGTTTTAAGAAGCTCCCTGGGTGTTCTGATGCAAATAAAGTTTAAGAACCAGAGTTCTGGATTTTGTATGAGACTGCTGTCTGCTCGCTCGCATGTCAGTGCACCTGCGGAGTCAGTGGGCAGAGATCCCCGTTGCAGGCTCTGGTGGCTGTCTTTCCACCGTACCTACTGAGAAAAACAAAAAGCCATAAATACTGATTCAGTATCTGATTTCAGCTCTCAGTGCAAACCAGAACCTGGAAATAGCATGGAAAGGAGAAGCTCACTCTGTTCCTCCTGACATATCTTTCTGTCTTTTTGTATATTTAGTTCTTTGGATGCAGACACTGTGTTTTCATATGTTTGGCTGAGTGTGTGACGCAGTACAAGCTAAATATAATTGTGAAGATGTACAATCTGCTTGGAATCCACAACTATGGAACTTCCTACCCACCCTTGTTTCTTAGGTCACTGCCTCCCTCAGGAGGGCCCTGCCAGGCACTGCTCAGATATCATTTACTGGGGCTTGAACACCTACAGCATCTTGGCAGTGGCCTACACACAAAGTGGGTATCTTGTTCTGTGGAAGCTTGCAAAACAGCCTGACACTTGGCAGGCACTTACTGGCTTTGTGATCCTAGAAATGTCTGTGTGCCTTGGTTTCCCCATCTGTAAAATGGCAGTGATAGAAATGGCAGGGCCACTGACTTGCACAACGTGGGGAACATCTTCAGGGACACTGCAGTGTGGGTAGCACCACCTGGAGGCAGGGGTTGAATGGATGATTAAACACGAAACCCTTCTCCTGGTGCGGGTGCGTGCTGGCCTGAACTGTCTGGCTGTGTGGCCATGAGCTGCAGAGGAAAGTACACCTTTGAGTCGGACAGTGTGAGGCTGAGTCCCGACTTCCTTTCTTACTTCCAGCTTTGTGACTCAAGCAAGCTCATTCACCCAGAGGCATCACTTTGATGTATTGTCCTGAGCAGTCACTGGCACACAACAAAGGTTTGTTCAAAAAGTGAATGTACATTTATGAATCTCAGTTTCTCACTCTCTAATGGAGACAGTGATATAATTTACCTTGCAGAGATAGGATTAATTGGGAAAACATAGTTTAAAAGGCGTGGCACAATGGAATGAATGCACAATGTGGCAGTTCCAATAAACATGCACCAGGTGGTAACTTGAATATGTTACAAAGTTTTTGGCCCTGGGGTGGCATGTCTTGAGTCAGACCCCAGGCATGGAGTCAGTTAGGACCACAACTCAGTCCCTGTACCAACCAGCAGAAGCAAGGGAAAGAGGACGAAATGTTTTTGGGAGTGGCACAACCCTGGCTGTATATTAGATTCACGTGAGGAGGTTTGAAAAATTGACAAGTCAAATCCCTGGATCATGGGTCCGGAGCATGAGTATTTTTTAAATGTGTCCCAAGTGATTCTAAGGTGCAGCCAGGAGTGAGAACTCTGATTTATGGGCACCTACCATATGCTAAGTGTCTTGTTAGACAAATTTGATCTCCTGTGACCCTACAACTCTATACATTAGCATCTTATCCCCATTTCACAGAAAAGGAAATCAAAGCTCAGAGAGTAAAGTAACATCTCCAACGTCACAAACCAGTATAATGGATGCTGGCATAGAAACCTAGCCTAGGACCATCTGGCTTTGAAGCCAGTGCTTTTTTCACTGCTTGGCACCAAATCCCAGAAACATCCTGGAAGAAGGTAATCAGAAGAGTACACTGGGGGAAGGAGACAAGGGAAGGCCCCAAGGGCCAGGTGAAGTCTGGCCTTAGAGAACACGTCATTGCAGCATCACCAGAGCAGGGAGGTGAAGTCCAGAACCCACTGCATTGTCCCTTTGGGCTGGGCTGAGCCTGCCAGTTGCCATTGTTTCTTGTCGAGGTTTAGGGGGCTGATAAATAATATCCTCCTTTCTCTTTTAAAATTGGTAACAATTGAGAGGCCTATACAGTGTAACAGAAGTGAAGATCAAAGTGACACTTTGCTACTGATAAAAGCTGGGAGGCAAGATATGGCCTAGCATGTGGACACTTGGATGCTAACACTCCAGCCTATTCCTTGGAAGGGCTGGCCCACTTCACCCTCCCCGGCAGAGATTTTTTTCCATAACCTCATGTGTGGAGCTGCAGAGTCAGCCTCCCCTGTGGCTGGGAGGACTGGACAGAGCCGAGTATGTGCAGGTCCTTCTAAATGCACCATCCAGGGAAGTCTGCTCCTCCAGGGATGGCAGAGTGGAAGGACATAAAGAATCTCCTGGAAGGACTTCCCACACTCTGGAAAATGGAGTGTTAATGGATCGCTTGTATGGAAACCTAAGGGGAGGTGGGAAGGATGTGTCCCTTCTGCTGACATCTCTTATCTTGAACCTGTGTGCTTTATCCTCCTCTGGAACTGCTGGAATGGTTTATGAAATGTGAGTTCCCTTCTTTTTATTCCTTTCTATTGATCTTAGACATGAGAATTTTATTGAGAAAGACTCTCTCTCTCTCTCTCTCTATATATATATATATATATATACATACACACACACACACACACACATGCACACACATTTGGCTACTATAGCTGGTATATTAATTATCTATTGCTGCATAACCAAATTACCCCATAATGCAGTGACTTCACAACAAATATTATTTCACATTGTTTCTGCAAGACAAGAATTCAGCAATGGTTTAGCGGGGTGGTTCTGGCTTGGGTGCTCTCTCATGAGGCTGTAGTTAAAATGTCACCTGGGCTGCAAGGTTGTAGTCATTTGAAGCTTGACCAGGGCTGGAGTGTCCACTTCTAGATGGCTCACTCACAGGCTGACGAGTTGATGCCTGCTGTAGAGTAAGCCCCAGTTCCCTGCCATGTGGACCTCTCCCTAGGGCTGCTTGAGTATTCTCATGACATGGTGCTGGCTGCTCCTAGGATGAGTGATCCAAGAGCAATCAAGGCAGAAGCTACAATGTCTTTTATGACCTGCCTTTGGAAGTCACACTTGGTTTTTCTGCAGTTTTTGTTAGTTATCCAAATCAACCCTATTCAAGTGGGAAGGGACCAGACAGGTGTGTGAAGTAGGAATAATTGGGGCCATCATGGAAGCTGGTTATCATGATGGATGACTCACTGAAAACTGAATCTTGTTTTCTTTACTTCTAGCAGAAGCACAGTCAGTGAATCCCATTGGTGGTCTTTGAGAGGCATCAAAATTATTACGTTCTCTGTTGCCCCACCAGGTAGGGTATTATTAATCAGCCTTTGGGGAATCTAGGCTGAGAAAAGAAGATGCCAGGCAGGTTGAGACAGCCTTTAATACACAGATGTAGCAATACCGGGATTTCCATGTGTGTGGGAGGGTAGCACATTACTCTTAGACTATTATTTT